GTAGAATCCCTTTTGATTGAATGTGAAGGGAAACAACTTCTATAGTGCTTCTGGACAGGAGGGAACCATTTTTTTCCTAGGAAAACGTACAAACAGGAGCCAGGTCACAAACAACAGTAACCCTTGGCCGAGAACTGAGTCGGGGCTGGCGATGAAACTCTGTAGCCTTTCCCCTAAGACAGTGCAAATGTCCCATTTGTCTGATGCAGCATCCTTCCAAAACGCCAGGTGGGTTGACATTAGTTCCGTTACAAGCCAGGGCCCATCAACAGCAGGTGCCTTTGGCTGTCTCGCCACGGTACGCATAACAGATTGTGTGCCACTGGGGTTGTGCCGCTGGCTTCAGACAGCAGAGTTTAGGAGTCAGGGAAGAGCCAGAGCAGAAGTCTGTCCTCCAGCGGTCAGGTAGATGTGAGATGTGTCTTTTTTGTATTCTCTACTTTGCATGACTCAGAGAAGGACGACTATCAGTCTAGAGCCTCTTTAACAGCCAGGCCAAACACATGGCCAGGCACAAGTGGCAGAGTCTAAAGTGTGGCCCTTCATAAGTCAAATGGAGATTTTGGAACATGCTCTGCAGGACAAGAAGCATAAGGGACAACAAATTAGACAGCGTTCCTAACTGCATCGTGAGATCATTGGCTCTCACAGTGAGCTTGTCGGCGCATCTGCACTTATTGCTAGGGCAGTATGGGTTGGGGTGCAGCACTTCATCGGGGGAAACAACTTTGAGACAATAAGGCGGGAAATCTGTGTTTGATGCCATCATGGAGAAAATGTCAAACTCTTCCCCTGTAGCAGGCAGAGAGTGCTCTGTGGGCTGCAGCGGGGCTACGGTGCTCTCCTGGCTCGCCATTTCACCGCTTAAGGCCCTTAATGACTTAATTTGAGCTATGTTCAAGCGTGTGAGTCCACGTTTTCAGCCAGCATGCAGGTGGACTTCTTTCTTTTGCAGCATTTCTGACACTGTCATTTTCAGTTTCCGGCCCTGCTAGTATTTCCTGCCACTGAGCCAGCGATATAATGGCACCGCTTTCGCAAGGATAGACAAGCTCGTTGCGGAGACGTCCAATCCGAGGCAAGACGGACATAAGTAATGGCCGTCCTGTGGCTCACAAATGTTTGTTGGAGCATTACATGCAACTGACTTGGAGGAATATGTTTTATCTAGGAGAGGACGTTTGAGGCATAGCTTGTGTAAGAGAAGAAAACAGAAGTTGTAGTTTGTAAACTCTGTTCCATAACTGACAGCTTCAGCTAAAATATCATCTGAAGACCCAGTGCGTGGTCTTGGAGCTGGGTGAGCTTGGCTACCAAAAGTACTCCATTGCTGATACCATCATAGCTTAGTTAGTGAAGCTAGCACTGTTTGAGGAGGACTGGAGAGCCGCAACAGGAGCCGAGGCTCGGAGTATAGTGGAAAGCTCTGTGGGAGGTCTTATGTTTCTAACTGAGTCTTAGTAGAAAGGAATTCCACCATAGGTGAGGGCTCTGAGGGTAGGCTTGCTGATGTGGCTGATGGCGCCGTAGCTTAGCTAAAGTTAGCAAATGCTGAAGGAGCGGCTCAGGTGGCAGTGGCTTACTCCTGAAGTTCCAGAAAATCAGTGGAGAGACAGCCCGTAGAGGACCGGGCTGAACTGAGTTACTTGGTCCGAAAAGCGAGCATATCTCGAGCATATCTAGGTTTAACTGTGTGACTGTTTGGCATACTTTCTTGGTCTGCAGCTGGCACAGCTAGAGAACCATCCACTTAGTAAGAACTGCCCCTGATGGCCAGCAGCTCCAGAACATGACTAAAATTCTAAATTGATCATTTAACTTCCCGTTGCTTGTTTTGTTGTGCAGCTGGACAGAGCTGTTCAAAATTCTCTCTTTGTGTTTATCAGTGGATCTGATTGCTCTACATACAGGTAATAATTGAGATGAGATGAAACAAGTGTTTCTTTGCAAATGGGAAACACACCATATGTTCCTCTAGAACAGGGGTGTCAAACTCAACTAAATGGGCCCTATTTAAAAATCTCAACAAATCTGTGGGCCAGCTGTGTTTTTATTTCTTGACTCGAACTAGCCATTGTTTGTTCAAAATATGCTGAATCTACAACAGCTTGAACTAGACACCTGGAGTCTCTTCTATTTATAGTGCTGTCCCATAGATGTATGTTATGTAGCAGTGCATGGAGCTCATGGAGAAATGGGCTAATAGTAATAGAAAATTAAAATATTTTCGGAAGTCGAATAGGATTGTGCCATGGGCCTGGCTTCGCCTGCGGGCCTTGTGTTTGACACATGGGCTCAAGAAAGCACTGCACTTAGGCTGCAACTAATGATTATTTTTTTAGTCAACGATTATTTCAGTCATGCCCTCCATCTCTGCTTCCTGTGGGCGTGACTCCTGTTCGTTTTACCTCACCTGCTTGATAGCTTAATTAAATGTATTTGTAACATTTATACATGTAATCATAATAAAAGTGAAATAAACAAATTTAATACAAATTAAAGTGCAAGAAGGCTTTCAAATGAAGTTAATGTGCAAAAATGTAGCTCTGCAAGTCCTCAATAAACTGTATAATAAGTTTGCTTAAAGTGACATTCACGTACGCAAAAGTAAAAAAAAAAAGAAATGGTCTATCTTATATAAAATCTTGCTGGGTCTGGAAGTCCAAAGGTTCAAATAAGGCTTCAAATGAAAAAAATAAGATCTTCTTCCAGTCCAAAATAACTATTAGCAATTGTTTACAAAAGCTTTAAATCGCGTTAGTTAACATAACTGAAATAGCATTCTCTTAGCAAGCACAATCCATGAGACCTTGTTTTCCAACGGGTAAACTAACAAACATTACCATACTAAAAATAGTGGCTGAAGAACGAAGTGGTAGAAAACGGCCTTACCCTTTCAGAGTAGCATTAGGCCTGATTCACACATGCTACCTCTGCGTGGCCTGAGTGATGCGACAGCGTAAGCGCTACTGCTTGAACGCACTGGCATCTCGTTCGCACAGCGTTTCTGCTGCGAGAAAGATATACAGACATTCCCTTCTTCCAGATGGATAAACGGCCACATCAGTGACTCTACTCAATAAAGATTTAATTTATAAAAGTACACTGTATATTTGTCCTGGACAGCATTCTGATTTGTGATAAGGGAAACGTTTCAAGCCTGGTGGACCAACCGGGAAACCTGTTTGCAGCATGGAATTTTTACTTATTTATAATTTTATAATTTTTTTGTCAAATTAAAATTTTTAGTTTGTATACGGTTTTCTGTTTGATTAACATTGATTTTCATGGCTTATTTAGTGTATTTAGCTGCGTGATGCGTGTGGCGCGCGGAAGAAATCGGTGCCCGGTCTGTTCTCTGAACACCGCGCCTCTTCAGTGCAGCATCTGGGACTCTGTCACTTTGCACACGCAGCCTGTGTAAAAGCGGTGACCATTTAACATGAGTGCAAAGTGAAAAACAAGACTTTCTGTGTCACTCACGTCACGCAGACGCAGTATGTGTGAAGAATGCTTGCGTTTCAGACGCCCGTGCGTCACCATATGTGCTGCCGTGAAATGACAACTCTGCTTTATTGTCAGAATTCGACTTGTTTCAATGGTTTATTTATGCTAAAATGCTCCCAGACTTTGGAAAGTTTCGGTCTTGCTTTTTTGCCTCGCCTTCTTCACACTCTCCCCCGTGCCATCATACAATGTTCATTAGTACCGAATGCAGTCGTGCCAATCAAAGCGATTCCGCCCCCAGCACTTCCTGTAGTGCGTTGCAGTTACAAATTAATGACCCGTCGGCACTGAAATTCTAAGTCGAAAAATTTTTATAATCGATGTTGTCTGTACTCTGCATCAGTTGGTATCTTCACATTAGGTATTGAAATTAGTATTAGGACATCTGACTTTATTAACACCTGTTCATTTTAAGTGACTTCTCTATCCGAATTTTATTAAGTCAGATTCACTCACAAAAACTAAGTTGTACTTTGCTAACGCTGGCCTCAGAAATCTTTTGCTTAACATTTTACTTTTTTAAACTAGAGGAAGGCCCCAAATTCCCCCACCCGTTAAAGACTGCTGTTTAGACTGATATGCCTCCTAGTTTTTGCAGCCATGGGCACTGTAGTGAGATGGTAAATAAACAACAACTTAAATGAAGAACCAGTTTGGTTAATATAAAAGTTTTTGTTGTGGGGGGGGGTGTCAGTTGGTTTGATTGGAGAGAGGGAATGCATTTGCACTTGTATAACACATGGTTAAAATGCATTTCAGCCCACTTCCTGTGATTTAAATCTATTTTCAAGATGTCTTGGGTGCATTGACATCTGCGTTTTTAAGTGGATAATCCTTACCTGGGTTTAGTCCTGACCAGGTTTACACCCAGATCTTGTTGAATTTGACATCTTACTACGTTAAAATTGCATAGCATCTCCTCTCTATTAAGCATAAATTCTGGTAGAGTGTGGGGGTTCATAACCCTTTGATGCAGTTATATATCTCTTATAACGGGTCCTGTTGTGTTGAATGAAGACAGCTGCTCTTGTGGCTGATGTACAACCAGTAAAACTGCAAACCATTATGGGAGAAATGGTAAGGCTGTGATTTAGAACTGCATATAAGCTAACACAGGGATGCTCAACTACGGTCTTTTAGGGCTGGTGGCTAGCACAGTTTGGTGATTTATCTACTCAAATATACCTGATTACTCTTATCTCTTAATTGCCAGGTTTAGTGGGTGTGTTAGTGTAGGGAAACGTCCAAACTTTGCTGGACACCAGGACCGGAGTTGTACACCCCTGAGCTATCAATATTGTTACCTCATTGATTACCCATAAATTATCCCCTGGCACACAATTTTAGTAGTTTTTATTATTTAAACAAACAACTGATTGCAGTGTTTTACCTGTGCATTAATTTACAGTTTGTATTACATGCCTCTGCAAAGAAAAGTCTAAATTAACTGAATTTTTTTTTTTTAGTTAACTCTGTGTTATCTTGACTTGCAGGTGTGAGCTGTGACGCGTGTTTAAAAGGGAACTTCAGAGGGCGCCGATACAAGTGTTTAATTTGCTACGACTACGACCTGTGCGCGTCATGCTATGAGAGTGGAGCCACCACAACTAGACACACCACGGAGCACCCCATGCAGTGCATACTAACCAGGGTAGACTTTGGTAAGCTTCTTCAGGGCAGTCAGTAGGTGTACAGTTTCTAAACTTACGTGAGAAGGATGTATTTTGTGGAGATTTTGAAGTACGTCTCTTCTCTGTTTCCACAGACCTGTATTATGGTGGAGAAGCATTTTCAGTAGAGCAGCCCCAGTCATTCACTTGTCCCTACTGTGGCAAAATGGGTTACACAGAAACGTCTCTACAGGAGCACGTCACCTCGGAACATGCAGAGACTTCCACAGAGGTGGTGAGTGCATTATATTGCTTTGTACTATTGGAGGTGTATGGTAAACTCTTTTACCAGGACAGCTGACCTAGCTCATCCAGTGTTTCTTCTGAAATTATGGGTATTAGTAGAGAATTTATGTGCAGTAACGATATTTACTGGCAAGTTTTTAAAAACGTCATTTTTCCAATTACGGGAATTGATAACCCTTTGATGTGGTTATATATCTCTTATAACGGGTCCTATTGTGTTGAATGAAGACAGCTGCTCGTGTGGCTGATGTACAACCAGTAAAACTGCAAACCATTATGGGAGAAATGGTAAGGCTGTGATTAGAACTGCATATAAGGTAACACAGGGGTGCACAACTCCGGTCTTTTAGGGCTGGTGGCTAGCACAGTTTGGTGATTTATCTACTCAAATACACCTGATTACGCTTATCTCTTAATTGCCAGGTTTAGTGGGTGTGTTAGTGTAGGGAAATGTTCAAACTTTGCTGGACACCAGGACCGGAGCACCCCTGAGCTATCAGTATTGTTCCCTCATTGATTACCCATAAATTATCCCCTGACACACAATTTTAATAGTTTTTATTGTTTAAACAAACAACTGATTGCGATGGTTTACCGTGCATTAATTTAGTTTGTATTACATGCCTCTGCAAAGAAAAGTCTAAATTAACTGTGTGGGGTTTTGAGTTAACTCTGTTATCTTGACCTGTGTTATCTTGACTTACGGGAATTGATGTATAAACTTGCTTCCTCGCCGATAAAAGCACCTATTGTGATCAACAAAACACACTTCTGTAGTCTGACCCATGTCCTGTCCACAGTGTTACTGTATTGCTTGAAATGTGGATGACCTGAGTACAACCAACCAGCACTTGTGTAGTCTGTTCCATGTCTTGCCTCATGTCGAACAAATCCAACCAAATGTGCCTTTTGGTTTTGTGAGGGATGCCGGAGGGAATGAAACAGTGCCTGCTTTGTTCGTTTTGTGAGGAAAAGGTAGAAACATGTCACAGTTAAACAACGGCAAAAATCAGTGCATACAATAAAAAAAAATTCTCTCACTCTAGCCTGACAAACATGCATGCAGCTTGAGCCCTGCCAGGAACATCACATGTTTGGTGAGAGTGCGGTTTCTCTGTATGGGAGCAAATGCACTATCCTGTTGTAGAACTATCCTGTTTGAACGCATTCAGAGAGTGTGCACCTACAGGGGCGCTTTAGACAAGCCTCCAGAAAGCAGTAAATTATTTCTGAAATCATAACGTATCGTTTTATGTTAAATAAATGTTATGCGTAATTTCTGGTCATTTTCATTTCTGTTTTCGCTATTTTAAAGTACAGACAGTTGCAGATTGCAACTGTTCTGCTTAAACTAAATGAGCAGATTCCATCTAATCATGCAGTGCAGAATATGTCTTACACACTCAATGTCTAACTATTGCTTGTTATGGCATGAAATACGTTTTTTGCTGAACAAAATGAAATGAACACATTAACATTCAGATTCCCTGATTGTTGCTTTTCACAAAGTAGTGACCCATTTTTTTGCATGATTGCTCAGAGTAGTAATATTACTGTGCTATTAGTAGTACTATAATATTTTCACTGTAATACATTTACAGTTGTGTATTTGATTTGTGTGGGCTTTTTAGTCTGTATTTAGGATTTCTGTCTTGCATCTGTATACTGATAAAACGGCAGGCTCCACTCTTGATGCATGCCCTTTCATCAATTTGTATATTGTGTAAATTGTGTAAATATATTTGTATACAGTTTTTATTTAAAATTTGAGCCCCTTTTTTGAGCTCCAATAGTTTTATTTTTTTATTATTATTTTTTTTTACAAGTCATTGACTATGAAATGTCACTGAAAGCTATTAATTGTTTCTGTTTATTGTCTTAAAGATAACTCTGCACTTTGTTTTAGAATGTTGTCATATTCATTTAATATAAGTTGTGAGTAAGAGTTGCATTCTTTTAAAGTTTCACACTACAAACATCAAATTTATGGTAAATGAATATCGACCCCAAAAATCGTTTTTCTGTGTGTTATGGCTGGATCTAGGGTCTGATCCTGAAAGAAAAGTGAGGTCAGACAGCTGCATCGGTAACACTTTACAATACTGTTTCATAGTTAATAAGTAACTAATCAGGAACTCAAGCGGGAATGAACGAGTAGTACTGCATTAACACTTCAGTAACTACTCTTAACTACCAAGGACAACTAGTCAACTACTTAGTAGGTAATAGTGAACTAATGATTAGGTAGTTTACTATTAACTATAACACCTGAGTCTCATGGAGAATTACTTAGTAACTATGGTTTCTTAGAATAACGACTCATAAATTACTGATCAATTCAACATTAATTGCTTAATAGCTTAGTCTGACAAGGTTCCTATTGAACTACTGACTGTAGTGTATTACAACACTTCTAACAGTAGTGAAATACACTACACAGTGTGCAGTCTCTACAATATAATGGATTATATCCTTCATTTCTATTCACAGAAACAGGTATGCTCAGAGAAGGCTGGGGGCATCACACCACACTTTACTGACTGGTGCCCTTCACGTGTTTGTTTTGATTAGAAACCTTAAAAGGCTAATGCACATCTTCATATTTGGCAGTGTGAACCAATTTGCACATCAGCCTACAAATGGGACAACTGCTAAAATACTATAGTATTCCGTAAACCAGTCTGCTTACCTCTCGTCTTTAGAAAAGAAAACACCATTCTTTTCTGCAGGAGCATGTGTGCCAGTGTTTCCTCTGAACCGTAGTTCTCCTTTTAAGTCCTCTTGAGGGCAGGGTCAGTTGAAGAGAGGGCTCACTGAAATATCTGACTGCGTATGTGTCCTGCTTTCAAATTCACTTGGTTCTAGATATTACCAAATGATGATGAAATTACTGTCTGTTAGATAATGAATAAGGTGTTACTGTTCTTGATTAGGAGCTACTGACCAGGAACAATATAAAATGAAACAATGGTAACTCATTATTAATGAACTAGGGAGTTAATCATGATCAGGAACAGCAAGTCTGAGAGCTCGGACTGATCACAGTATGTTCTGCTAGTACATTAATTGCACATCTTTTTGTTTCATCTCTGAGGCACAAAGTTTTACTGCCTATTGGCTTAGCTCATGCTAGCAAAATTAACTAGCTAGCTAGCGTGCACTCATAACAGATCAGCAGCAGCTTTAGATTTAATAAAGCACTAACGTGCTTATAATTCTGAACAACATGGTAAAACATTGTACAAGAAGACAAGAAGAGCTCAGATTAGTTAGCAAGTCAGCTAACTGTGTATCTACGTTAGTGCAGCAGACTTAATAAAACTTTGAGTCTGAATCAAAAGTCTCACATTAGTGGCCCGGGGGTCTGCCATGAGTCTGATTCACTCATCATACATCAGGAGATTCAGCGAGTCACAGTTAAAATATGAACAGAGTGATCAAGCTAATCCACTGAGAATGCAGGATTAACTACTCTCCTTTACCAGCACTTGCAAAAACCTCATGGGCACTCAACAGAAACACCAAAGCTATCATAAGAGTTTATTTAATTCAATAGAACTCTAAAATAGGTATTATTTTAAATGCCAGACTCTCTATATATTTATACTACTACAAATAAAAAAAAAAAAACAGGAATGATAAGACCAAGACAAGATTGAGACTGAGACAAGATTTTTTTCAGAATTTAAAAATAAAAAGAAAGAGAAAACCAACGAAACCACCAAAAAGGTCAATCATTTATTATACATTATATATAGATGAATATTATATTTATAACCTTTTGTAAAATGAAACATTTAAATAATAAATAGACTGAAAATATTGTGAAATAGTATTATATTATAATATTAGTCAAATTCTCCATTTTAACTTTGTTGGTAGATTATTCCCTGTCCCTTCTTCTCTAAAATCTATTCGGAATCACTACCTAAGGTCCACTAAATATAAACCAAACAACATGCATCCATTTTTATTATTAAATGAAACCATTCTGATCTGCCCAGTTAAGCCGTCATGGAAAGATCAGTGAGACTTTATTTGAAATAAAATAAAGGATCCTAAAGTCAAATTGTCTGTGGGCCAAGTGTCAGGTTCTCTTCTCCAAAAAGGCCTGGTACAAAAGACGTAGGTAAAAAAAAAAGTTAATCTTGGTCAGTGCTTATTAGCAAGTCTTCTATCACCATAATCCGATGATGATGGTTGTTGTTGTTGTTGTTGTTGTTGTTGTTGTTGTTACAGTAGTAGTAGTATAAATAGAGATTTGGATGTTTAAAATAAACATTTTAGAGTTCTGTTGAATTAAATAAACTTACATTAACAGTAGAGTTGCACAGGACTCTTATTATGATAGCTATGGTGTTTCTGTTGAGTGCCCATGAGGTTTTTGCAAGTGCTGGTAAAGGAGAGCAGTTAATCCTGCGTTCTCAGTGGATTAGTTTGATAATTCTGTTCATATTTTAATAGTGACTCTCTGTGTCTCCTGATGTATGATGAGTGAATCAGACTAGTGGCAGACTCCTGGGCCACTAATGTGAGACTTTTGATTCAGATTCAAGGTTTTATTCAGACTGCAGCACTAATGTAGATACACAGTTAGCTGACTTGCTAACTAATCTGAGCTAAGTAGGTATGGTTTTCTTGTACAATGTCTATTTTACTGTGTTGTTTCAGAATTATAAGCACATGTTAGTGCTTTATTAAACCTAAAGCTTCTGCTGATGTTCTGTTATGAGTGCATGCCAGCTAGCTAGTTAATTTAGCTAGCATGAGCTAAGCCAATAGGTAGTAAAACTTTGCGCCTCAGATATGAAACAGAAAGATGTATAATTAATGTACTAGCAGAACATACTGTGATCAGTCCGAGCTCTCAGACTTGCTGTTCCTGATCATGATTAACTCCCTAGTTCATTAATAATGAGTTACCATTGTTTCATTTTATATTGTTCCTGGTCAGTAGCTCCTAATCAAGAACAGTAACACCTTATTCAT